AGAGTCTCACTGAGTTGCTTAGGGCCTCGTTAAGTTACTGAGGCTGACTTTGAACTCATGATCCTCCTGCCTCAGCCTCCCAAGCCACTGGGATTTCAGGTGTAAGCCACTGTACCTGGCATGAGAATGATTTTTTAAGCTCAAAACTGTCACTAACATATTGAACTATGTCTGCTTTCACTTGCCATCACCCTCCTTCATTTCCTCTGGATGGTGTGAGATGTTGAGGCCAAGCTCCTTACAGTAGTGCCAGGTCACATGATTTTCTTGTCTTCTTGGTTCTTCTCATTCTCTGCCTGCCAGATAGCTCTGGTTTGTCTCCTGTGCCCACAAGCCCAAGGATACTGCTGCAGAGATAGTGACACTAATTCATTAGAGAGATTAGGCACCACGGTCTCATGCCAGAGGTGTGGCCTGTGAGGAGCAGATAGGTCTGTAAGTGTCATCGCAGTCCACCTTGTGTGTCATGGACATGTCCTCTCTGGGAAGAGTGCTTCAAATATCAATTTTAGAAATTAAAATGATGTCTTCAGGAAGATGAATAGTGGATCCCTCAGAATAAAAATCTTCTTTTACCATTTGTTTGTATGGAAATTCTTTTTCACAAAATAGCTGGAGTTGGGATTTGGGCTGGCATTTAATTCAGGGTTACACAATAGCCCTTTATTGCCGAATTCAAATGATTTGGATGCGCTTGAATAATCTTGAGAGGGGAACTGCATCTTTTTTAAAATAGAAGAATTACTTTTGTGTGCCTTTTTATTACAGAATGCATGGAAGTGTCTATTACTAGTTGGCTTATTTTTAAAAATATTTTATCATGTGGGATCTAAAGCAGTTAAAAATGTAAGGAAAATCAAATAACTATTTTAATTGAAGCTATAATGTTTATTGCATGAAACATCATTACTCTTTTGATTAGAGTAGTCTATAGTCTAAATTGGAGATGAAGATAAAGGGGGAGAACAGAAGCTGGTTAAAATGTTTGCCCTTGGTTTCTTTGTCCTTGTCCTGTAGTTTCTTTTTATTTTTTTCACTGATAGAACGCACAGTTTCCAGTGACTTACTCGGGCTTTTTTTTGAGGCCTTTATATCTGGTATTTTACCTTTGCTTCACGCATAGAGGATAACTGGGCAGGAATTTTCCTGTGTCCCTTCTGGGCATCCCAGTTGGGATCCGAGTGGGAGCTAACGGAAAGTAGAATGCAGCTCATTTTACAAATAATGCACACGAGGCCAATATGTGCAGGCAGGTGTTTAACAGCTGGATCTCTGGGGGGAAAAGCCCTGATACATGGTGTTTGCTGATTTCTGTGATAAATACTGCCATCATCATAGATGTGGATCTACCAACATTGCTTCTGGATGCAGTGTTGAACGAGGATGTGCAGAAGCAAACTGTAATATAAGCAAACTTATTTGTAACTGTATGCCAATCAGATGCAAACACCACGACTCCAGATCATAGGGCATGCTACAATGTACAAAGATTACTAGAAAATGATGAGTTTTTCAAGTACTTTTATTAAACCCATATTTTAAAATACAACTCATTCCAGGATAAGTCTTTATGTTTTCATATTTAACAATGGTTATATTGAATAATTGGTTTGCAAAGTTCCTGAAACTTTTGCAGGCCCCTCTTCTTAGGCTGGCTCTATCACACCGAGTGTGAGTCAGACAAGTTGCTGTCTTGCCAGGGTGCACAAATGCATTATAGTACTGAACTTGGATTATTATAGAGTTGTTTCTAAAAATCAAACTTCTCTAGAAAAGTCTACCTGTTTCTTGTTTGTTTATTTATCTACCAAAGGGATTATTACAGGCTGCTATTCTTCAATAAGTCAGTAAGAGTCAGAATATTTGAATAACCAAAGGTGGGACAATGGAAATAAGATTAGATTGAGTGCCATAAATGAATCCTGGCTTTGAGGGGTGGCCCTGCCACTCACCAGTGATGTCAACTTGATTAAGTCAGCTACTCCTCTGGCTTTACTTTTCTAGTCCATCATTTGAAGGAATTGGACCACATGAACATTATTGTCTCATCAGGCCTAAAATAGTGTGATTCATTACTTAGACCCATCAATTCAACAAAAATATTTATTCAGTGCCACTTATGTGCATATTTGTTATGAACTCTAGGCAGAATTAAATACAAGTGTACTATTAATTATTAATGTAGCAGCATCTCACCTTTATGAGGAGCCTTCTAATTTCCCAAAGAAGAAACATGATCTTGAGACTTTGAGGTTCTGTGGGTTTAGGAGATCAGGACACATCTTAACAGAATGTTGGAGAAAGAGCAACCTGTTCTAGAAGAGCAAACAGAACCTTATTCCTAGGAAACCCAAGAGGTCATAACCAGGTAGTAAAAAGGAATAGGGAACAAGCACATTTTTGCCATGTCTATCAGTTGCTTCACTTTAAGATAAAGCAAAAAATCAGAAAAACAACTTTTTTTCTAGTTATAAGAGTAATTATTATAGAAAACTTATTTAATACTTGAAACTATTAAATAAGGAGAAAATACCACAAATCTAACCTAGTGTTCTTCTTTTCTTTACCTAATAGTTGATCATATTTTCTAAAGCATTCCCAGTAGAGTCATTTTAATTGCTGTGTATATAATTCCATCCTTTTGTGTATAGTAACTTACTTGTCTCATGTCTTATTGCTGAAAGTTTAAATTGTTGACAGTTTGTATTTTTCTGAAGAGCTCTGGGTTAAATAGCTTGGTTAAATATTTTAAAATTGCATATTGGACACATGGTTTCCAACTAACATTTAAGATTTAATAAGACTATTTTAGCAAGTCAGATACTTTCAAACTTTATTGGATTCTGCTGGTATGGCTGGAGTTCACCTAGATTTTATTCTGTTTCTAAATATTTTTTAAGAGGACCATTTGGACTGAATCCTTCAAGAAAATGGACTTGAAATGGAAGTAGCCACAATGTTTTCCTATTATTTCAAGCAGAGATGATGTGTATGGTTAATAAATTTTTTCTATCACTTTTTGTGGGAGATAGCCTATTGTGTACAGGGTTTGTTAGAAAGTGCTCAAGAAATGTTTAATAAAGAAAAATATTTAGGCTAACTAGGGTAAGCAAAAGCATTAGAAAAGGGTATGCTTTTTTTTTTAAAAAAAAAACCCACTCTACTATTCATAATAGCATTCATTTTCATTAGGAGAGATAACAGGTACGTACCATTGAGGAATTGTCACTGTTACATGAGAACCATGAAATGAAGTATCTTGTTGCTTTAATTCACCTACATGGGAAATTATGACTCAAATAGCTATTTGATTAAATGTTATTGAGACCTACTAAATTGACCTAACTCTTACTTTTATGTATTTGATATACGTCAACTAAAACAAGACAGGTTTTACCTCTATCATATTTTGGCATCTTTGAGTCAACCTCTGCTTGCAAGGGAAGCTCTATCGTGACTATTGTGGTTATTTAATTATTAATAATTTCCATTACAGGGGACTGGAGGTTTACAGCTAGAAGACTGAGAATAGATGGCAGGATTGGTTTCTTGTTTCTGCCCCCAGGAAAAATACCTCTTACTGGAAGAGATGTTTTCCATTAATTTTTAGCATCATACTCCTGCCACCATCAGAATAGGATAGTGGATTTCAGGCATTTAGTAGCTATCCTATTAAAATATCAGTGTAACAAGTTCACATATTTTTAAAAAATATCTTAACCGTGCCATAGTGGTCATTACCCTTGAGCTCCTTGCAAACTTAATTTCAATTTCTAAATTCATTTTGTTCCTTATTATAGTCAATAAGATGCAAAAACATTTTTTTCACTCCATACCATATTAGGTTGGACTTATTTACATTAAGTGTGGGGAATTCTATTAGGTTAACCCTGAGAGACATGACAAGGGTCGTATATTCAATCAAGTTATGATTATAAACTTTTGTGTTGATGGGAAAATGTGGCTGAAAAGCATTTTAAATTTGCAACAACTAGTATTTTCATATTATGCCAAATTGGGTTGTGTTAAGCATGTGGTTAATAGATTTTTTTACACATTTTGTATTTTTGAGATGTTCTAAATGGCTTGGCATTTTAAAGCACTGAACAATCAAAAGCAGCCATTGTATTTGCATAATTGTATATTTCATTTTGTATCCAGAAAGCTGAGTGAATGGAGTATTTATTCATTTAAAATACTTTACTTAGAATTTAGAGCTAAGGATTTGGATCATACTTAAATAGCAGCAGGGTAATGTGATGGTGCTGGAGTAGCTATCACAATACACTCAGCAGGGTTGGGATTAGGGTAGGACAAGAGGGTAATCTGCCTCTGGTGGAAAGATGAAGAGTATCATAAAAACTCAGTAAACAAGATAAATAGTTATAAATATAAATATTTAAATATATATAAATATAAATATTTAAATATATAAATATTACTGCAATATTTGAAAACAATCCATATAAGGCCAAAAAAAATCCATGACAGAAAAAAAATAAGCCAAAATTCTAGATAAAGATGTTTTCTGACCCTGCTTCTATACCTCACTTCCTTCTTTCCCATCCTGGCCCTGACTTAGATCAAGTCCTGGTTTCTGTACTTTCATGTCTCTGCATGAGATACTTAATTGAGTCAATTTTCCATATCTAAAATTGGCAATAATAATTCTGGATTTCTGCTGGGCATGGTGGTACATGCCTTTAATCCCAGTGGTTCAAGAGTCTGAGCCAGGAGGATCACAAATTTAAGGCCAGTTTTAGCAACTCATCGAGGGCCTAAGCAAATTAGTGAGACCCTGTCTCAAGAAAAGAAAAAAGGAGGGGGGGTGCTTCTGGGAATGTGGCTTAGTTGCTAAGAACCCCTGGGTTCAATCTCTAGTACCAAATAAATAAATAAATAAATAAATAAATAAATAATTCTGGATTTACTGGTGGAGTTATTAGGAGATTCAATCAGCTAAAAATACATGGGAAAGCCCATTAGAAATATAATTTATATGTTTATGTATGAGTTTAAGTATATATACTATGATAGCTAGCCCAGGTGAGTACTCTAAGCTAATATCAGATTTGATCTTTGGAAAGCTGTGTGACTAATACAGCTTTGGGAGCCTGACTTCTTGAGTTTGTATATCAAGTAACAAAAGGGAAGACACTTGTATGTAATGGCAGGGCCCTCCCTCTCTTACTTTTTGTGTTCTTGGATACAAAACTCAAGGATTCATTGAGATGGAGAAGACAACCAGAAATCCATTGCTTATTTTAGTTTTCCTGCAAAGCTCATCTGAACAGCCAAGGTTTGGGCTCTGCTCAGCTGTCCCACGCACTAGTGAAATTCCATTTTTTGTCCCACCTCTCTGAGTTCCACCCACCTTTTGTTCATGTTAATTTTGATAAGATGTCACCTGTGCCTGCAATCCTTTTCCCTTCTTTGGTGGCATACCATGCTCTATCCCTGTTTGGTGACAGTTATGAAACCCTTGTCTTCATGGTTTAGCAGATTGATTTCCCCTTGAACTTATTTCCACACCACATTTTTAAAAATGTAAATTGTCCTCCAGTTACACTGTAAATCCCTTGAAGGATTCCCCTCTAAATGGCCAGGGCAGGATGGGCAGGGACTGGGCCCGTCTTATTCATGGTGATGTCCAAGTTGCTCAGCCTACCGTCTTTCTACACAATGGCATTTTCTTTTTACGTGAATAAATGAATTGTCTTGCATGTTAAAAGGCTAGGTAAATATTTAGTCTCTGGATTCATTTGTGGAATGTAACTGTTTTCATTCATCCTAGACCCCAGAAGGACCAGGTTGCACCATGTGGAAGGTGATTGTTTTGTTGGCCCTGCTTACATTCAGCCCTTGTGATGGGCTGTTTCGCTCCTTGTACCAACGTGCCCAGGTTTTCCAGCCTCCTAGGGGAGATACAGGACAGCCATTATTTCTTACCCCTTATATTGAATCTGGAAAGATCAAGGAAGGTGAGTTTAAATCAGCAAACCACTGGTATACTTTGAACAGTTTGGGAGGGTTTTTTTTTTTTCCCTTTCTTTTTAAACAATTATCCCACAGAACATAAAACACATTCCAATATCTTTACTTGTTTTATGTCAAATATTAGTGACTTGATGCTGTATATTGTCTGAATTTTTAGCTAAAATGAGAGTTAGAACTGGATTATTTGTGTGGTGGAGTGGCAGCATTTGCATTTGCCTGACCTGCAATGGGCCCTTGACAAGGCTGCTGTTAACATTAAAACTTACTACCTGGGGGGCTGGGATTGTGGCTTAGTGGTGGAGCGCTCGCCTAGCAAGGGAGGTACCCGGGTTCGATCCTCAGCACCACATTAAAAAAACCCAAAAAAACATAAAGGCATTGTGTTGTGTCCATCTACACCTAAAAAATAAATATTAAAAAAAACAACTTACTACCTGTCCGTCAAGCATTCTGCATGAACTCAGCAACCCAGGGAGGTGTTCCTACTTTGTACACATGAAATTAAAGAAGAAGGAGCTCCCATGACTTACCAGAGTTCACATAGACACTGGGTAACCGAGGTATCACCTTCATTCCCTCCACTTGATTGTGGAGGGAATGAAGGTGTCACCTGGCAAGTGACCCACCCAGCCTAGACCTCGGTTTCCTCATTAATAAGATGGAGATTTAATAACTCTCCCAACTTGCAGGGATGTTATGAGAATTCAATGAGAAAAAGCACCTGAAAACTCTTTGATCTTATAAATTGCCCTCTAAACACTAATGTTTTCGAATGGATTTATTTTATAGATCGTAGCTTTTTCTAGTATTATTGTTAATAAAAAGAAAGATGTCATTTGATGTTATCAGAGACTAAAGTTGATGATCCACATCTCCCCTTATGTTTTCTTTGTACTCAGGTAAATCAAGGTGTAGATGAGTGATTTAATCTCGGTAGATTCCTGAACTCTGAAGTGGCTTACAAGCAGCTATTTTGAGGAGTTGCTTGTAAAGAGAAGCAGAGAGGTGGGGTGTTGGTCAGTGGAAGCAAGGGGGTCAAGGAAGCTGCTTGAAGAGGGCAGGGATAATGTGCACAAATGAGGAAAGCAGGAGCTGGGCGGGGGGTGGGGGGTGTCGAGGAATCCCTTGGTGGAGACTGGTTAAGTAGGGGAGACCTTGGTGGAGTATGCTCATCCCTAGTCTCAGGGGCTAAGGCTGAGTCTCCGCCTGTGCTGGTAGATGGAATGGGAATGGATGGTGCTGGAAAGTTTAGGAAAACTGTTAAAGGTTGAAAACAAATCTGAGTATTCTATAAGGAAGTTTAAAAGGAAACAATTTTCTTTTCACTTGAAATGGTTTCAGCCAATAGGATGTCATCATTTTTTTTTTGTTTTAAAATCCAGATATTCTCATATTTTAAGGGTTGAAGTTCTGCTTATGTGTCCTTCCCTGAAAGGCACATTGGCTCCAGGTTTCACCATCTCTTTCCTAAGGAAAGGTGGAAAAACTTTGACAATGTATTCAGTATATTTCTAAAAAGGACTCATTTTCACTTGATGTGGAAAAGCTACAAGACTGTTGCCTGAGGCTGATTCCTTAGGAAGTATGTGAGGAGGCATCAAATCATTCACCCAAGCCCCAAATTGGATCACATACCTATACTTCAGCTCCCTTCATTACTGGACACTGATGACTTAGGCTACATTCACTAATGATAAATCAAAGCAAACCGCTTAAGTTAAGAGGAATCGGGGGCTAGAGTTGTAGCTCAGCAGTAAAGAACTTGCCCAGCACGTGTGAGGCACTGGGTTTGATTCTCAGCACCACATAAAAAATATAAATAAAATAAAGCTATTGTGTCCATCTACACTAAATATATATATATATAAAAGGATTTGAATAACCATGATAATCAATTTAGTAGGATTTCTTCCAATCACATATGGGGAAATTGAGACTCAAATACCTGACATGATTTACCCAAGGGGGTACAGGTAATAGAGATGGGCTAGAAGAGATGATGTAGTGCCCAAATCTTCTGACTTCTGCTGTGTTTTGCCTGCTGTAGTTATTTTCCTTTGTTTAAAAGCTTGGGGTTTTCTGAAGTGATCAGATGTGCACACATGACATAATTAAGGCACTGCACACTGAAGCATCACATCTGAATTAGGTGTGCTGGAAAATTGAAGAAGGAAGCTGTTGGTGGACATAATCTAGGAAGAAAATGATAATGGTAGTTATATTAGTAAAAATAATAAATAATTAACATTTAGTCATTATAGCCCCAGTACCTAGCATAGTACCTGTATATCATAAGCACTTAGTACATATTTGCAAATTGAAAAACATTTTTTTTTGTCCTGGGGATTGAACTCAGGGGCATTCAGCCACTGAGCCAAATCCCCAGCCCTATTTTGTATTATATTTAGAGACAGGGTCTCACTGAGTTGCTTAGCTCCTCACTTTTGCTGAGGCTGGCTTTGAACTCGCCATCCTCCTGCCTCATCCTCCCAAGAGGCTGGGATTACAAGTGAGTGCTACCGTGCCTGGCCATGAATTTAAATTTGAGTCCCAGCCACATGTCAGGCATGGTTTTCTACATCCATTAGCTTATTTAGTCCTTGCAGCAACCTTAATGAAGAATGTGAGCTGAGTGTGGTCGCGCATGCCTATAATCCCAGCAGCCTGGGAGGCTGAGGCAGGAGGATCACGAGTTCAAAGCCAGCCTCAGCAAAAGTGAGGAGCTAAGCAACTCAGTGAATCCCTGTCTCTAAATGTAGTACAAAATAGGGCTGGGGATGTGGCTCAGTGGTTGAGTGCCTCTGAGTTTAATCTTGGGTCCAAAAAAAAAAAGTATGCATAATTATTGTTACCATTTTGTAGATGAGAAAAATGAGTCTCAGAGAAATGAAGTATCCTATCCAGAGCTATAAAGCTCATTAGTGGCAGAACCGGAATTAGAACCTGTGCCTGCCAACCCCAGAACCCCATGCTGTGAAACCCTGTGCTGCATGATCAGCTCCAGACTTGAGGGTATGTATGAAATTTTGAGAAAATAGTGAAAGGTCTGTGCCCCCTGAAAGAGGAAGATAGCTTAAACAAAGGCATTCAATGAAAGTGACCTTGGTGTGTCTGTCTGTGTCATAAATCTGGTAGAACCAAGTGAAAACAATATCGAGTTGTCCACATCTCTCCTGTTCTGTTTTTCTTGCCTATGAGCCCTCTACAGTTCTGGGTACGAGCAGCAGAGGAGAAAGAATCCAGGGAGTATAGTTTGATCTTCTGTCCTTCTGCACCAACCCTGGTAGATCTTCACCCTATGAGTGACAACGTTTAAGACACTGAATCTGTATGGAATGTCACTTTCTAAAGTTCTGTTATGCAGTCAAAATCTTTGCATGGAATTTTAAGTGGCTGATCCAAAAGCTGGTACATCTGGGTATTCAGATGCAGCCCTGACAACATAATTAAGGATAATTTTATTCATCCGCTTTGCTGAAAGTTCAGGAAGCTCTGGACAGATGGTCAGATCACTCCCCTAAATCCCTTTTGTTTATCGAGTTTGTCAGAACCCTAGGAACATGAGTCTTGGTATCACAACTGAGCGTTTTTGAGATAAACAGTAGTTCACAAAAAGACAAGGGAAATTTTTATTTTTTTAATCCCCAATTAGCTGGCTTAGTTTTATGTAATTGTAATTGCATGTTTACTTTCTCTGCAGCTAGAATAAATCCTTGTTCTCTGAAACAAGATGAATGCAGAAGACAGATTTTAGCATGTTTACAAACAGGGCGTCTCCCAAACTCTAAAGGGTATTTTGCTCTTGGGTCCTCTTACTCCTTATGGGCTGGTCGCATCTTGTTTAGGTGGTGATGAGTGTTGGTGAACAGGACACGCTGCTTCCTGATTAGCTGGATCCAGCCTGCCTTGGCCACACTCCCATCTTCCTTAAGTGTTAATATCACAAACACAGTGACAGCAGTAAATACCAATGAGGAAGTGAAATCACTTCAAAGAAAATCTCTTCCTTTTTGAAAAACTGTTTTTTAAACATTTGTATGGTGAGTCACGGTGCCAGAAAGATAAAAACTCCTCCATCTTGGTGGGTTGTTTTCCACATTCCATTAATAGACTCTGGAAGGATGAACAGGACCTTTGAAAATACAAAAATTCCCATTGATTGAAAGAAATTTTAATTGTTTTACTATGATTTGGTGAACAGGAATTTAAGATGTGAAAGGGGCCAAACACATCTCTATAGACTACAGGGAAGGCTTCTAAGTGTCTTCAAATACTAATGAAGTTGTCTTTCATTAGATTTTTTTTTTTTTAATCAGGAATTGAACTCAAGGGCACTTAACCACTGAACTACATCCCCAGCCTTTTAAAAAATTTTATTTAGCGACAAGAGTCTCACTGAGTTGCTTAGGGCCTGCTGAGTTGCTGAGGCTGGCTTTGAACTCACGATTCTCCTGCCTAAGCCTCCTGAGCTACTGGGATGACAGGGGTGGAAGTAAACTAATCCTAGTGTGGTGTCACGCGGCCTGGTATAGTTCATGCATTTATTTTCTCATTCATCCACCTACTCATTAATGTGCATTCATTAAGAATTATTTATTCAGTGTCTTAGATTGTGAATCAGGATGCTAAATCCCAGGGGATATGAAGAGAAATAGGAAGAATTTCCTGCTTTCTGGCAGTTTGGAATGGAGGAGGGAAACCATGGAATGGACCTAAGGACAAAGTAGCAAGAGAGCAACTTTGGTGTTCCCAGGAGGGGAGGGAGGGGTGAGTCTCTGAACCTTCCCTGAGCAGGCCAGTGGACCCTGTGCTGTGCTGGCCTCAAGACAGATTGATTCAATCATCTCTCGCCCATATTCCATTCCCTCCAGCTCTTTTCCATTATATATTTTCTATTTTTCTCATTATACTTTGACCCTTCTCATTTTTCTCTGTCTTCTTCCTCAAATCCCCTCCTGACTATTTGCCTCTCTCTGGTCCACATCTCACCCATTTCCAAATGTTCAATTTTTATGTCTTTGTTCTCTTCCTCTCTCTCTCTCTTTTTGGGTTGGGGGAGAGGTGTCTCTGTTTGACTTTGAGATTAATAGTTTTGCTAAAAATATTTCAAAAGCATTTTCAAGGCTGTCCAGCCCTGGAGGGTGAGCTTTCTTTGGATTAATTGAGAGTAGAAGCAGTGGAGAGGAGGTAATGATAGCTGGGGGGAAGATTAGAGGGGTCGAGGGAGGGCCAGCAAATACCTGGTTCCCAGAAATCTCTTTCTCCTACAGCCCTTCTCTACCCCCAACACCACTTTTTCTTTTCTTTTTTCCTGGAGGGGTAGGTCTCACCGAGAAGAGAATGGTGTGAAACATAGAGTTTGGGAGAACTGGGCTGATCTAGGAAAAGGCAGGTCTTCCAGACTTCTAGATGCCATTTTGGGATGGTCCATGGGCTAGGGACACCCAGCCTCCCATTGAACAGAACTTTCTTTGTGTCCAGCTCCCTGCTGGGAACGTTTGTAAGTACATTTTTCTTTTCTTTAATATTTATTTTTTAGTTGTAATTGAACACAATACCTTTATTTCACTTGTTTATTCTTATGTGGTGCTGAGGATCCAACCCAGGTCTCACACGTGCGAGGCGAGCGCTCTACTGCTGAGCCACAAATCCAGCCCCTGTAAATGCAAATTTTCCATCAAATGCTCACAGAAAGCATGGCCATGGAATGCTTATCCACATTTTGCATCAAAGAAAAGAGTTTCCAAGATGAAGTAGCTTGCTGAGGGGCCTAGTGAGGACACAAACCCAGGGGTGGCCAACTTGGAAACCCATCCTCCTCTTCTGTGCCAGCCCAGCAGGACCCTCAGGCAACTGCCCCTGGAGACTTCTCTTATCCCCACCATGACCTCTGCTCCCAGGTTCTCCTGTTCATCAGAAGATGTATTTCGCAGATGATGGCTGTGTCCGCTGCATGCCGGCTCCTCCCCACAGGTTTTGCACATGGGGAGTCTTGTATTCCTGTACCATCTGGAGCCCATCTTTCATAAAGGAGGAGCTGAAGCACAGGAAGGTTAAATGGTTGCTCCAGGGGTCACAAAACTGGCCCATTAGTAGTGCTAGAAACAGCAAAGTACTAGGGAAAAAGAACTGTGTGTGCAAGACGAGTTTCCTCTTTGGGAGGCATGCTTATTGTAAAAGAGGAGCTTGCGGTCTCAGAGCCACTTGTGCTGGTGAAAGGTCAACAACTGCTCTGGGGCTCAGGGCTCTGATTTGTAGCACCCATTCCATTGGGTGTAAATATTCTCACCAGGGCAGTGATGTGGCTGAATGTGGGGATCAGCACTCAGCATTCCAGAGCCTGTGGGCTCTAGTCCACCACCAAAGCCACCTTTAGTTGGTGGCATGTAAACTAACCAGCCTCCAACTTTGTATGTGTCAGATATAAATAGCCTTTCTTGAGGCATTGACTTTTATTGGACATATTCTTTGTCTTGTCTCAGACTTAAGTAGCCTTTCTGGAGTAGTTAATCTTTATTGCACATCGCCACTGAAGGACTCTCATCTTCCACTCAGACATCCCTTTCTGCTTCCTCCTTCCACACCCTGATACCCACTTTCTGTTCCTTCTCCATGCCCTTCCTAATCACTGCTTCCCCTCTGCTCCCTGCTGCTCACACCTACTCACTAACTAATTGAGCAGCCCTGTAGTAGGGGGTGGGAAGGAACAAACCCTGCAGTTAAGTCTAAATCCCAGCTACACTGACTGTGTGACTTCAGGCAAGTTATTGAACCTCTCGGTGCTTCATCTTTCTCAGCTGTAAAACTCCCACATAATGTAAGGCCCTTAGTACCACTGCCTTAGAAGTGTTAACTCCTCCAAGTATTTACTCCTGGGTGTCCTCAGCTGTCTGAGCTTCCTTCCCTCTTTCCCTGTTCCTGTCCTTGTCTGTTTGCTTGGTCCTAAAGCCCAGAACTCTGCCTTCTACAACTGCCCCATTGTCCTATTTGGCTCTCTCTGAGTAGCCATAGGTCACCACCAGGCTCCCTGCCTGCTTCTTCCCTCCAGCTCCAACTACCCCTGGTCCTGTAGGCCTCTATCTGCTCCCCTGAATGGACATGGCAGATCTTTGCCTTCATGAGAACCAGAGTGTGGAGAACATAGGGCTCCCAGGACCCAGACCTTTGTGACCACATTGTTTTTCTTGTATATGACTCTTTGGGGTCAGGTAGCTTTATCCTGCTCCTCTTCATGTGGCCCAGTGCGAACACCTTAATTTACTCGCGATGTGATAATAGCTGGTTTTCTTTTCCCTCCTTCTTATACAACTCAATATATCCCCCCCACCAAAAAAAAAAAAAAAGGGTTTAAAAATTTCACTTGCTCCTGGCTAAACTGTGGATGTGGAATATGTGGGATGAGTGGAGGAAGCTGGCATTGGCTGAGTTAAGTACCTGTCTGCTAAATCCTTTGTGACTTCTCTGCTCACTTCATTCCCAATCTGGTACCTGGGTGAAGACTCGCCAAGACTGAGATAGCTCACCTTGTATATTTTTCTCTAATCTTCGGGTAAATTTTCTTTTTCCCCACTAGGAAGAAAATTGAGTTCGGTCACTGCTTTTCTAGGACTGAACATACACAGTTACTCTGGCTACCTCACTGTGAATAAGACCTACAACAGCAATCTCTTCTTCTGGTTCTTCCCGGCTCAGGTAGGCCTGTGAAGTTAGCCACCAGAAGGAACATGATGCTCAGGAGCTAGCTGGGCATCATGGGCAACTCAGGAGGCTAAAAGAGGAGGTTTGCAGGTTAGAGGCCAGCCTCAGCAATTTAGGGAGGGTCTGTCTCAAAAAAAAGAAAAAAAAAAGAAAAGAAAAGAAAGAAAAAAGAAAGAAAAAGAAAGAAATTGCAAGGGCTGGGGATGTACCTCAGTGGAAAAGCACCCCTGAGTTTAATCTCCAGTACCATTACAAAAACAAATCAAAACAAACAAGCAAAGCTGGCTGTGCTGCTCACTGGAGAGTGGAAACATTAGCCTGCAGATCCATGGGGTTTATTTTTAAAAAATCTTTTTACATTTTTTTTTCTAAAAATAAGTGGAAGCAACTCTGTATGGCATTCCTGTTTATGGGCAGGAAACAAATGCTTGTGGAGGTGGAGGAAGTTCCACTTCTGAATTTCTTGTAGCCTTATTTGGAACATTAATATTACCACCTTCTTCTGCCACAGTCTTCTTCATATGCTCTTGTTATTATATTTTTCATAAAAATATTTGAGGTTGAGATGGACATTCAAGATCCCAAGGAGGGTAAGGAATGAGAAATTACCAAAATTAGCAGGAAACTCATGTCTAAGCATATATAAATTTAATGTATCATGACCACCCTTGCCTATGGGCTGGTTGGGTTACTCACCTGCTGAAGTCCCTATAGACACAGATGGAAATATCTTTGTCATTCACCAGTACCATTTAGTGCAATTTTAATTCATAATATTCTTCTTCATGAACAAGGCACTTTTATCTTAGGGGTGCCATTGGAAGTATTGTTATAGGCATTTAAATGCATAAACAAATTTTAGCCCAACACAGAGTAATTTTCTATTTTTATTTTCCAAATTGGATTTGCTTTAGAAGCCAGAGAAATCAAATAAAAGGCTATCCCTATGGAGGGTGGTGTTCATATTTGCATATAATTTGCATATAACAATGTTGCATATACATAATAATAATGTAAATTGCTTAATCCAGGGTCATTTGAAGTTAAATTGTTTTCAGCAGTACTGTCAGGTTATATTTTCATGACTTCATTTTTGCTTTCCTAACTGTGTGAACGTTGATGTAATTCATCCAAACTAGTCTATTGTGGGGTGGGGTGGGAATAGGTTATGTGAAAAACGTGAGAATTTTAGATACTCTTTGGGCTCAGAGTAGTCATCAAATTGCCACCTTCTCTGGAAGATTTTCCTGGATCCTAGATAGACCTTATTTCTTCCTTGGTGTTACTGTGGAGTGAGGCAAGGAAGGTGCCTAGTGCATAAAATTTAAGGATACCCTTTCAGGGTGGAACCAGAACAAGGTCAGCTCCTAGCAGGAGTGCTTTCCAGTCTCCTGCAGGTGCTGCCCTCTGGTGGAACCCAGCTGCCTCCAAAAAGGTAGGGGAGTTGGTGGTGCCATCCATAAACCTATACCAGGCACAGAGCCTCAGGGAGATGGGTGGGAAGTGGACCTTCAGAAGCTAACATGGAAATAACCAGTGCAGCTGTCATAAGGAGGCTTGATAGAAATCAGGACCTAGAAATATGATCTCATTCTAACAGGTGGGAATTTTTTTTTTGTTTTTTTTTTCAATTTTGATTTTATTTCAGATCTCAGATTTATACTCAGATCCAATTTCTAGCAAATTTTTATTCTCAGAATCACCTTTTTTTTCTGCCTTCAGCATTTATAAGTATCTCTTCTTTTTACACATTGTTAATTCATCTCTTTATTTATATAACAAATCCCCAAGTCACACTTATCTGGGGAAATAAAAAGATATATTTACTCTTTTCTTTTATTTAAAATTACTTTAATTGACATATAAATAATGGACACACTTATGGGTACCATGTGACATTCCAATATGTGCATACATTGTATAAGTAAGTGTATTTTATCTCCTCAAACATTTATCATTTCTTTGTGGTTAAAAACATTCAAAATCTTTTTTCTTGCTTTTTTGACATATACAGTACATTACTGCTATGTATAGGCACACTAGTATGCAATAACTGATCAGAACTTACTTCTCCTAAATGTGACTTAGAACCATTGATGAATATTTTCCCAAATCTGCCTACTCACCCTTTACTCTTCTCATCTTCTGGCAACTGTTCTGCTATCAACTTCTATAAGTTAACGATTTTATATTTCACAAATAAGTAGAATCATACAGTATTTGTCTTTCTGTGCCTGGTTTCTTTATATGTCACTAGTACTATCTATCTAATATTTATATGTCACTAGTACTATCTAACTCAATTCAAGTTCACAATACTCTCCTGCATGAACAAGGCACTTTAAGCTTAGGGGTGCCATTGGGAGCATTGTTACAGGTACTGAAATGTATGAACAAAATTTAACCCAACACAGATTAATTTTCTATTTTTATTTTCCAAGTGGGATTTGCTTTAGAAGCCAGAGAAATCAAAGAAAAATTTATCCTCATAAAGGGTGGTGTTCATATTTGCATATTATTTGCATATAGCAATGCTGCAAAAATATAACAATGTAATTATATAATGTCCTCCAGTTCCACCTATGTTGTCATAGATAATAGGATTTCATCCCTTTTTATGTCCAAATAATATTCATATATGTATTTAATATATACATTTTCTTTATTCATTCATCAGTTGATATTCACTTAGGTTGATTCCACTTCTGTTTGTGAGAATGTAAATTAGTACAGCCATTGTGGAAACAGTGTGGAGGCTTCTCAGAAAGTTAAAAATAGAACTATAACAATCTAGCAATCCCACTAATGGGTATGTATGTATCCAAAGGAGAGGAAATCAGTATATTGAAGAATAACTGCATTTACATATTTATTGCAGCATTCTCGGATTAGCTTTATGTCATCATAACAAAATACCTGTGATTATGAACTTATTAGAAAGAAAGGTTTATTTTGGCTCACAGTTTCAAAGGTTTTAGTCCATAGTTGCTTGGCCCTGTTGTCTTGGGCCTGTGGTAGCACAGGATATCATGGAGAGAGTGTCTGATTGTGGAGGTGGAGAAAGTTACAGGTACTGAAATGTATGAACTTACTTCTCCTAACTGTGACTTAGGACCATTGATGAATATTTTCCCAAATCTGCCAAGAAGTGAAAAGAGAGGGCAGGAGAGAAGGGAGAATAGACTGACGTCCCAATATTCCCTTCAAGAGCATGTACCCAATGCTCTGACTTCCTTCCGCTAGACCCCACCTCCTAATGGTTCCACTACCTCCCAATAGTGCCATGGGCTGGAGAACAAGCCTTCAACACAGTGGGCCTTGGGGGACGTTCAAGATCCTCACACTAGCCAAGATTTGGAATCAGCCTGGGCCTGTGCTCTTTGAAGTCTCTTAAACCTCATTCATTTCAGAAATAATTCTGTACATGCTCATTTTTTTATATCACATTATATCACATCTATCAATGTATTTGAATGTAATTGTTTACTATTAACTTCTTTGTACTGGTTTTTTACTGCTGCTATAAAACATTGCCACAAACTTAGACTTAAAACAACTCAGACTTTATGATCTCAGTTTGGTAGGTCATGGGTCTGGTGCAGGTCTCAGTGAAATAAGATCAAGACATTGACAGGGGTATAGCCTTGCTTCTGGCAATTTCTAAAGGCCATTCACATCCCTTGGCTGGCAGCTTTTCCTCCATCCTCCAAGCATGTAATGGCAGATTGATTCCCTCTCCCATTGCATCACTGTTTGAACTTCTCTGATTTGTCTTCTGCCTCTTGCTACTTTTAAAGACTCTTGTGTCTACACCTAAATGATCCAGTCTAATCTCATTTTAAGTCCAGTTGATTGGCAACCTTTATTCCTTTTTCTTCTGTATAGTCACAGATTCGGGTGATCAGGACATGGACATCTTCAGGGAGCCGTTATTTTGTGCATAATGAATACTTGACAAATTTGTTAGATTGCTGCTTCTTATGTTCATTCTTGGTGTTTCTTGCATTTTATTTTATATAAGAATTACTTTGGGGCTGGGATTGTGGCTCAGTGGTAGAGTACTTGCCTAGCACGTGTGAGGCACTGGGTTTGATCTTCAGCACCACATAAAAATAAATAAATAAAATAAAGGTATCATGTCTATGTCTATCTACAACTAAAGAGAGAGAGAGAGAGAGAGAGAGTTATTTCTAACTACCCCCAGAAATTCTGTCTTGTAAACTGAGAGAGACCTGCAAGTTTCAGAGTTACCAGGGGGACCATGCTTTGTGAAACCAGTGCTCCAGCCTACTGGCCTGTGCCCATAGCTCCTGGCCCCAAAGTGGCCCACATTCTACCACAAGGAAATGTCTAGAGCAGATGGAGGGGTGTGCTGGGCCTTGCCTCCTCAGGTGGAGTGCAGGTTAGAATGGGGATGTGGAGAGTCAAGTGCAACCTTTAGGGGTCAGCTTTCCTAATCCTGCTTGGTATTTCACCCAGAGTGGCTGGATCTCAGGAATAGATCAGACAGAAACAAAACAAAAACTCTCTCTCTCTCTCTCTCTCTCTCTCTCTCTCTCTCTTTCTTTCTTCCATTGCCTCTGATCAGGCTTTGTCTAGCATGGCTTTGTCTAGAATATGGGGAAAGAACTGGGACCATGAAGCTGCTCAGGTTCTGCATACTTTGCCAATTGCAAGACTGAGGTTGGAAACTCCTTGTATTAAACAATGGTGGAGCAGTTGGTTATAAGTCCCCCCCGCCCTTAACTAAATGAAAACCTTACTGTGCATCCTCTAACCCAATTATGTTCTTTTGGGTCCAGTTCTCTATCTAGAAAGATGTTTCTGGAAGACATGACTTCTTTCCTATTTAGGAAAGTTAGGAAAGAGGACTTTAAGCATAGTTTTCTATTAGAAGTGATAGACATGGCTTCAGGGACAGGGTTCAGAGATGAAAGGACAGTACACAGACAGGGGTCACCGCCTGGCACTGCGTTAGATTGTCCCAAGATCTC